TTGATTGCATTTGAATAAGTTCCAAATTGGACATCGAGCCCTCAACTGACCAGAAATCAAAAAATGACTCGATGAAAGAAAAACAAAGTAAAAGCTATCCATATACACCTATTTACACTTGCTGGAAAGAAATACACTCAAAACAAGACCCTAAAAGACAAACCATTGAGCCTACACCGATTTTATAGTTTTCCATTTTGGAATGATATCGAAATTGGTCGGCTGGCTTAAAACCGGACAGCTGATTTATTATCTAACCAGCTAAGAAATTGATGGGCTAACTGATTCATTAACTGGCTAGCTGAACGAACTGATGAACTAGCTGGAAAATTGGCCATCTGGCTAAACAAATGGTTGGCCGGCTGAAACAATCAAGAAGCACACATGGAGTCAACTAAAAACTTGAACGGCTGACGAAATTGTTAGCCAACCGACTAAACCATGCAAAAGACTCTAGAGTGCGGAGAGAAGACATAATTTCTGACTCGACTATGCCCTAGTTCATTGCTTTGACTTTTTCCTTTTGTTTTATGTAAAAAGATTTTAATCAATATAAGAGTTAGATTAGCATGCTTGTTCCACTCTTTTTTTTTTTTTTTTTGGTCCAAAAAATGGTTTAGGTTTTGAAAAATTGGAATAATTTTTGATTTATATTTTATTCATTTTACTTTATTTTTTCAAAAAATCAAGGGAAATTCTATTTTTATACACTTAATTATCACAGTGCACATTTTCTCCCAGTACATACACTTATTAATTTAATTATTAATTAATTTTCTCAATCCACACACTAAAAGTTACAATTATATCTTTCACTCATAATTATTGTATACGGTACTCAACCCTTATTTCCACACACTTGTTAAGTGACCCTGCTTCCAGATTTATAGACTCATTGTAGACTCATGTAATGACCATTCAAGATCACAGTGTGAAGTGAAGTGAAATGAGGACAAAGTCCTCCATTGAAAACCCTATTGAACCTCTATTAAAAACACTAAACCCTCCAAAATATTGTTGAAGATGAGGTATCTTTCTATTTTGTTATTGCATTTATCATTTCTAAATCTTTGTGCACTTCATAGCCATAAAATCCTCATTTTTTTTTGTTTTTTCTTAATTTTTTTTCATGAAACTTGTTTAAGATGCGGCGTAGCTGTTGGTCTTGATTGTAATTTCAAATAAGCTATATTTATGAAATCATTTATTGGAAATTTATATCCATAGTGAAAATTGATTCAAATGTCATATGTTTGATATATGTTTCACCCCAAGTTACTACTCAGAAGCAGCAAACTGGCATAATCTCTAATCCTGAGTAAGATTTGTGATGACATGGACATCAGTATGCTTATTTTGTGAGATAAATTTTATGAAATTAATCTCTACTACTTAATTCAAACTATGAATTTGAAAAATTATTTTTTAAAACTGTGTGTGTTTATTTCATTTAAATTATTAATTAGTATCTTTAACACAATGTTACATATGTTGACTCACTCGATTGGTTGAAAGTTTTTATTCATTTTGCCCATGATAAATAGATATTGACATACCATGTAACAAAATAAGTTGTTTTAAAAATATTTAAGAACATCAATAGTATGAACCTAGAAATTTTATTTGGAAATATCGATTTACATTTATTTATATATGGCCTCTACACTAATACCAATTCAATCTTTACTATAAAACACACTATTCAAAAATTTTGTCATGAATTTTACTCAGATACATTAATTTATGACTTAGATTCATTTGCATATGCCTCCACATTTATACTAGTTTAATCTTTATCACATAAGATAATATCCAGAAAAATTTGGATAGTTGTTATATCTGGAATGGTAGACTCTCTCTTTAATAAAACATAGAGTAAAAATCAATTGTGACAAATTATTATTTTTAGATTCAATTAAATTAAACAAATTATGTATATAAAAATATTTTTAAATCTGGTCAGAAAAATATTAATGAATTAATGCCAATGATTTAACGAATAATTATTCAAAATTGATAATTTTAAAGATGAAAGAGGGTAAAATACTAAAATGACACAAACCCTATTATCTTAATTCATACTTTCTTTTGTTTTTTTGGATAAATTACACTCATTTCCCTTGAAATTTAAAGAAAATACAGACAGTCTTACACTTTTGACATAATTACAGTAATATCCCTTTTAGTATGATTAAAACTTCTAAAACTAAAGTCAATAGTAAGTAGACACTGAAATAAATAAAAATAAATATACATTTTAGCAAGAAAGAGATAATATCATTATTTTCAATCATACGACTAATAAATTATTGATGAAAAAAGTGTAAGTATGATGTGAAATAAAATTTTGAGGGAGTTATGTCAAAAGTGTGAAATTAACTATATTATTTTTAAATTACAAGAAAAGTGAGTTTAATTTACTTTTATGAACAAAATTATTAGATGATTTGAAAATCAATATCAAAAATTGATTAATTGTCATTGAGAAAATTAATTTTTGAATTATGTAGTGTTATTCCAAAATTAACTTTAAAAAAAATAAATATTTAGCCTTATTTGAGAAGTTAACTATTTTAATTAGATTTTTAATTATTTTAACATAGTTTGTTTGGTTTGAGTTTTAGAGATGAGTTTTAGAAAAAAAAATTTAAAAAATTGTTTGGTTTGAGATTTTTCTCAAAAAAATTTCAAAATCACTTCTCTCTCTTACACATCAATCAATTACTTTTTCTCTCTCCTCTCTCCTTCTCAATCACTTTTTCTCTCACACACATCTACTCAATTAAA